TAAATATGTAAAAATAAAGTTTAAATTATGAAATAGTAAACTAAAAATATTACCTGTTAATTAAATTAATTTAAGTAATATATTTTCGAGAGTAAAGATAATGCGTTTTCAAACAATAATAATAAACTAACCTAGGCATAAAGTAAAATAAACATAATAATAATATAAATATAATATATATATATTTTAAAATATAAATTTAATAAGTAAAGCAAAAAGCTTTAAACCCTCTTAAAAATTAAACAACTAAAAGTTTTTGTTCTATCTATTAGTAATAAAGTAATAGGTAATTACATTATTAGAAAATTAAAAATAAATCATAAATATTATTTAAAAATAGTTAACACATATCTTAATATACATAATTAAATAATAATAATTAAATAGACAATAATAATAATAATATAAATATTTTAAAAGATTAGAAAGATTTAGAGTAGTTTGAATAAAATTATATATTTACCTAGCAATTAATAAAATAAAAATCTAAATAATATGAAAGTATAAAGTCTGATTAACTAGTAATAAATAAAATGTTTAATATATAAGATAATTAAATATTTACAAAATAAGAATTAATGAATAAATTAATAATATAAAGGAAGCCTTAATTACCTACAAACTATTTAGATTAAATGCATAGTGGCTAAAGTCCGAATTAGAATATAAATAAAATAATAAGGAGATTAAGTTAAACATAAGTTCAAAATAATGATAACAATTTAAAGTTAGAACAAGTTTATTTTCTTTCAGAAATATAAAAACAAAGAGTGAATACTTTTTAATCTCTATAAGCTAATTATAATATAATAAGTCCTATAGTGACTGAAAACAAAAATGTCAAAAATTAAAATTCATTTAATATAAATAGTGATTATTTTAATAATAGTATATATTAAGTTAATGATGACTATAGTCATTTAAAAAAGAGATCTAATTCTGATTATATAAATAATAAAAATAGTTAAATAAATTTAATTAAAAGAAATAGTATTTATTAAGATACATTAAATAAAAAATCAACTGTAAATTATATTTAATAAAAATAAAATAGAATTCATTCATCATCAAAATATCCAGTTAAAAACCAAAAAATTTTAAATATTTGATTTGAAAAATAGAATAAATTATAAAAATTATATATATAAATATGAAAATCTAAAATTAATGTTTAATAATAAGATATATAATATATATATATATATATATATTAATTTATATATATTTTAATATATTTATATTTATATATATATATATTTTACTAATTTTTTCATTAAAATATCTTTAACTTATTTATAATTTATAATTTATAAGAAATAATTATAATGATAAACTTTTAATTTGTATTTTTAAAGTTAATATAAAATTTAAATAAAAATTATTAATTTATAAATTGTCTAAAGTATATAAATTTATTTAATAAAAGTATTATTTATTTTTAATAAATATAATACTAAAAATAAGGAATAAAATAAAAATTAATAAAAGGACGAGTTAATTAATAAAAATAATAAAATAAATTATAAAATAATATTATATATATTAATAATTAATATATATATATATATATATATATATATATTTAATAAAATATTTATTAATATTAATTTTATTTTATTGATATTAATTATATTAATATATTTATGTGAATATTAAATTTTTTTAATTTGTCCACAAAAAGATAAATAAAAAAAAGTAAAATAATATTATAATTTATATAAAAATAATAATATTTAATAATAAATAAAAAGAAAAACATAAAAATATTAATTATAATAATAATTATTTTTTATATATATTTAAATAATTAGTATATTATATTGTTAAAAATATTTTATTTGATTTAAATTAATCAAAATGTCATTTCTCACTAAATAAATTAACAGTATTATCATTAAATTATTATTCAAGTTCGAATATTTGATTTTATTTTACAACATTTTAATCTTTAATTTACCAAATTTCATTTTTAGGAAATATTTAAATCCATTAATCAATAATATTTAATATTCTTTTTTATTTTTCTTTTGAAAATTAATAGTTTAATAATAAAAGAGCTAACATTTTATTCTTTATTTAAGCTCTCCATTTTCTTTAGTTTTTCAAATAAGATTACTCATCATTTATTATATTTATTAAAAACTATAAATATTAATTAAGTAATCCATTTTCTTCTATTATATGCAGCACATTATTTACATATGATTTTTAAGTTTTGCATTTTTACTAAATTAATTAATCATAAATTTATTATGGTATTATTTTTTACACACAAAATTCTATAAATTTTGGTATTATTTAGTTTAGTTCTTTTAGTACTGTCCAAATTATTTTCTCATTTTAATTTATTTCTTCTATAAAACTCAAGAAATCATTCTTTATTTAAATTATATTATGACTTATTTAATTAAAGCAAACAAATTTTAGATTAGGCTAATTCATTTTTTTTATATTTTTAATTATTTTATTATTGATTTAATTATATAATTTATTATATGTGTTATTTAGTAAATAAGAAATAAAAATATTATTATAAGAATAATTAAATAATAATATTTTTTTCAATTTTATTATTTAAAAAAAAATGTTTTACTTTTAAATATATAATAATTATATATATCCCAGTCCCTATAATTTAATTTTTAAAATGAATTAATTATATTAATATTCAAAATAAAAATATTAAATTTTTAATTAATTTAAAAACTATATTTATAGTTGTTAAAATAACTAAAATAATTATAAAATTAAAAAAAATAATATTATTATATATTTATAACAAAAATAAAAATTATACTGCGAAAAAAAAAAAAATTAATATATATTTATATTTATAAATATAAAATTAATTTCATAGTTGTTTTTTATAAACATATCATTATAAAGGCAGTTTGTCCGAGTGGTTAAGGAGGGCGACTTAAGATCGTCTGGACGTAGTCCGCGTGGGTTCAAATCCCACAGCTGCCATTTTTTTTTTTTTATAAATATTAATTAATACAATATTATTTTAAAGGATAAATATTAATTATTTTTTAATAGTATTAAAATTATTATATAATAAATATAAAAGCTAAAAATAATTATAATAATTTTTTCTTTATTAAATGTACTTTTTATTATTAAATATTTAATTTATATATAAAATTGAAATTTAATAAAATTCATATATTATTAAAAATTTTAATTAATATTTTATAAACTATTAGTAATATTTTTTTAAAAAAAAAACTATCATTATTAGAAATTCATAAATAAAATGATAATGTCTAAAATAAATCTAAAAATTTATAAACTATATAATTTTAAAAAATTATGATTTAGTTTTTTTTTTTTCTTCTTAATTAAATTTGATTTATAAAATTTTTATAATTTATTTTTAAATATATTTTTATTATTAAAGTTTAAATTAAATAAAGTAAATTTCTTAAAAAAAATTTTGGATTTCTTTATATAAATTTTATTTTATTAAAATTAATAATAGATTATTTTATATATAAAATATTTTTTTTATTTTTAAAATAAATGTAAAAAAACATTTATGTAGTAAATTATTAAAAAGTTAAAAATTTATTTATTATCAAAAAATATATAAAAATAACAAGTATTAGTAATTATATAATTTATATAATAAAATGATATTAATTTCTATTTAAAATATGCTAAAATCAATTTTTTTTATTTAACTTTCATTAACTTTATATTTATATATTTTAATAATAATATTAGCAAATTGATTATAATTAATTATAAGCTTCGTCATTTTTCTAAGACCAATTTTATGTATATAAAGTCATATAATTATTATCAATATCATGATCTTTATTATAATTATAATTTTATTATTTTTATTTTGTTTAAAATGGTATAAATATGTAGTATTATTATTTTTAGTCTTCATTAGATGTATCTATTTACTTCATTTTTTCATAGCATCTGTTATAAGCTAGTTTTTTTGATTTTATTAGAATTTAGTGACTAGTTCTTCAAGTTTTTAAAAAGAAATATTCTCATCTTCTTATAAATCAGGTAATTTAGATAAAATTATGCCATTAACTTAATTAAATTGATTATTATATATTTCTATGAAATGATTATATCTTTCAATTGGATTTTTGATAACATAATATACACTAGATTATTATAAAGATTTTTACATGCTTTTATCAATTTATTAATCGATAATAAAGTGTTTAATATTTATTTTAACTTTTTACATTTATTTTTTTTTTTGGTTTTTTTTAATAATAAAAATTCTGCTTTATTTTTTTTGTTTTATTAATTAAAAAGAATATGAAGAATATGTAAAATTAATTAATTAATATAATTGTCACATATTAATAATGTGATGTCTTAAAAATTATATATAATAAATATTAATACGTATTTTTAAATATGATGTTTATTTTATTTATACTTAATATATCTTTTTTTTAATTTTTTAAAAACGAATAAAAAATAATAAAATTAATATATTTTAATATACTTTTTGTTAATAATCATTTAAAACTCATAAAATAAATAGTATTCTTATTTTAAAAGGATATCTTATTATAAAAATTTTATATTTTTTTTCTTTTTTCTATAAACAAAAAAAAATTCCAAAAAAATTATTTTTAAGAAAAATATATTAAATATATTATTTAAATAATTATAGATATTATGAAAAAATAATATTTAAAATATTTTTTATTATTATAAAATTAAATAAAATTAATTTTATACCAAATATAAGAAGGATAAAATATTCATACAAAAGAAAATTTATATATATATATATATATATATATTATTTTTTAATAATAAATTAAAATTTTTTCCTACTTAATATCAAGTATAAAGTATATTTTTAAGAAATATAAAATATGAAACATAAATCAATTAATAAAAATAAAAAATTAATATTTTTTTTTATGTTTATTAACAAAAATTATAATTTTTTAAAAATGACTAAAATTGTGTAAAAAAGCAAAAATAACAAAAATAATAATTATTTAATTTAATCAAATTAATCTTATTTAATATACTTTTGGCCATTTTTTTCCTGTTACAAGTAATATATCCAATTAACTATTATAAGCGATTCCATTTAATACAAACCCATTTTGTATATAGTATTTATCATCCATATCTTTTTATATTTCTTACGATAATTCTATTAAATTATACAATTTTTCTACAACTCCAGTTTCTAAATTAATAACCAATATATTATTAGTATAATATTGATTAGCCAATAATTTTCCTTTATAAATTTCAAGTCTAAAAAAAATGAAGGAAAAAAAATAAAATAAAAAAGTTAAAATTATATTTAAAAAAAAAAAATACTCATTCAAATATTTATAAACTTTTTTATGTTTATCTACAACTTTAATCTTTTTAATGAATTTAAAGTTTGTAGGATCAACAAAATAAATATATTCAGTTCCATCACTAATAATAAAATAATCTTAATAAAGTGCAATACCCCATCCTTCTTATATTTATTCAGGTAAATCGATATTATTATCTTCTTTTTTTTACAATAGTTTATCAAAAACTAACACTTTTCTTTCTAACCAAGTTAAAAGATAAATTTTATCATTATAAAGAACAGAACCTTCTGCAAAATAAGTTTTATTTAATTTTTCTGAAACATTATAAACATTATAAATTTAATTCAATTGATTGCTATTACTATCAAAATGTAAATAATGAATAGAAGATTAATTATATAAGCCTACACTTTCCAATAAATTATTATTATCTAAAAACATTAACCCTTACGTGAAATAATTTGAATCTCTATAATATGTTTTAACTACTTCATAACTATTCCTATAGATTCTTGGTTTTTATTTTTTTTATTCATTATTTTATAATTATATATAATATATAATGAAAGAAATTATTAATGCTCCTAAAGATAAAAGAAAGATAAAGCATTTTTTTCCAAATATATCTATTGTTGAAATATTTTGTTTTTATTTAATTTAAGTTTTCTTTTTCATTTTATTTATTTATAAAAATAGTAGTATATATAAATATTTGTTTTGATAAATATAATTATAATATTTTATTTTAAAATACTCAAAATAAAAACAAACGCATAAACATAAAATATTTTAAAATAAAAATAGCCCCATAATTAATTATATGAAATAAGATATATTAATTAATATCAAGATCCACAGGCAAAACATTCTTCATCATCATATTCCCATTTACCTTTAGAATTTTTTTTTTTTTTTCTAAGAGGACAAACTTAATCTTCAGGTTATTAAGTATTAAGTTAAATATTTTCTTTTTCATCAATTTTTAATTTTTTAATTGGATCTTCACTAAATTTCTCAGGATTATTTTCATCTAATTCTTTTTATTTATTATTTTTTTAAACTTATATATCTCCAGCATTTTTAAGTAGACTTTCGACATCTAAAGTGAATTTTATAGGATCAGCAGCAGGTCTACTTCTAAGATAATACATACCTTTATAAATTTTAAAATAAGATAAAAAAATAAAAATTAAATACCTGTTTTTAATCCTTTTTCCCAAGCATAAAAATGCATAGAAGTCATTTTGGAATAACTAGGTTCTGAAATATGAATATTAAGAGATTAAGATTAATCAATAAATGGACTCCTTGACAAAGCTAAATTAATAATGGCCTTTTGTGAAACTTCCCAAACAGTTTTATAAATATCCTTCAAACTTTCAGGAATTTCTTATATTTATTAAACAGATCCATTATAAGCCAGTAGTTAATTCTTAACACTAGGAGTCCATTGATTTATTTTAATTAAATCTTAAACAAGATGAGGATTAACACAAACAAATTCACCCGCGAGTACTCTTCTTGTATATAAATTAGAAGTATAAGGTTCAAAAGATTCACAATTTCCTAAAATTTAAGAAGTAGAAGCAGTTGGCATAGGAGCTATTAAAAGAGAATTTCTCATACCATATTTTTATATTTTACTTTTTAAAGAATCCCAATCATAACCACATTTATGAGGTTTATAATTCCATAAATCAAACTACAATTTACCCTAAGAAGCAGGGGAGCCTACAAAAGAGGCATAACATCCATCTTTTATAGCCAATTCCATGGATGCTTCACAAGCTCCATAATAAATAGTTTCAAAGATTTTTTCATTGATTTCTAAGGCTTTTTCACTTTCGAAAGAAACTTTAAGCTTCATGAAGGCATCAGCAAGTCCTTAAACACCTATTCCAATAGGTCTATGTTTCATATTGGATAATCTGGCCTAAGGAACTGGATAGTAATTTTCATCAATAACTCTGTTTAAGTTAAAAGTGACTATTTTTGATATTTCGTACAATTTATTATATTCGAAATATGAATTTTCATTATCTTCAACAACAAATTTTTATAAAGAAATAGAAGCCAAATTACATACAGCAATTTCATCTGGTGAAGTATATTCAATAATTTCAGTACACAAATTTGAACTTCTAATAGTCCCCAAATTTTATTAATTACTTTTTCTATTACAAGCATCTTTATATAACATATAAGGAGTTCCAGTTTCTATTTAAGAATCAATAATATCTTGCCAAAGTTCTCTGGCTTTAATTCTTTTTCTTCCTTTTCCTTCTCTTTCATATTTCTCGTAGAGTTTTTCAAATTCTTCTCCCCAAACATCAGGTAAACCTAAACATTCATTAGGGCACATCAAAGTCCAATGTTCATCTGCAATAACTCTTCTCATAAAAATATCAGGAATCCATAACGCATAGAAAAGATCTCTTGCTCTTTGCTCTTCTTTTCCATGATTTTTTTTTAATTATAAAAAATCGAAAACATCAGCATGCCAAGGTTCCAAATATATAGCAAATGATCCTTTTCTTTTGCCACCTCCTTAGTCTACATATCTGGCTGTATCATTAAACACTTTTAACATCGGAATAATTCCATTAGAATGTCCATTAGTTCCTCTAATATAACTATCTTAAGATCTTATATTATGAACTGAAACACCTATTCCTCCCGCACTCTTAGATATTAAAGCACATTATTTCAATGTATCATATATGCCTTCAATTGAATCACTCTACATAGTCAATAAGAAACAACTACTCATCTAAGGGTTTGGAGATCCTGCGTTAAATAAAGTAGGAGTTGCATGAGTGAACCATTTTTCACTCATTAAATTGTAAGTTCTGAATGCACTTTATAAGTCTCTTTTGTGGATACCTATGGAAACTCTCATTAACATAGTTTAGGGTCTTTCCACAATTTTTCCGTGAATTTTTAAAAGATAAGATCTTTCTAAAGTCTTGAAACCAAAAAAGTCATAAGTATAATCTCTTTCATAGTTTATTTATTATTGGATTAAGTCAGCATTTTCAATTACTATTTAATATACATCATCAGCTATAAGACTAGCTTTTCTATCTATTTATTTAATTTTATATATTTAAAAAAAATAAAAATATTTAAATTACTTTGATTATCTTTGTAATTATATAAATCTTATATAGTCTCAACAAAAGTTTCCTTTGTTTCTTTATGTAAATTAGATACTGCAATACGAGCAGCCAATAAAGAATAATGAGGATGTATTATATTCATATAGGCACATGTTTCAGCTGATAATTCATCTAAAGTTGTCGTATGAACTCCTTAATACATTCCTTTTACGACTTTTTAGATTATTAAATCCATGTTTACATAATTTCTATCTAAACCAAATGCTAATCTTTCGATTCTTTCTTTGATTTTTACAAGATCAATTGGTTATTATTCGTTTTTACGATTCAATACAGAAGTTACCCCTTTTTCTATTAAAAGTTAATTAAGTTCTTCGATTGATAAAATATGATGATCTTCCACTTTTTATTGTTTTTTTAATTATTTTTTTTAAATATAGAATTTTTTTTTTACTTTAGTTTTTTTTTTATTTTATTTAAGAATCTTTATTTTCTCTTGTTTTTTTTTTTCTTTTTTATAATATTTATATTATTATTTTATGTATTTATTATTTTATTAAAAATATTTTATATATATTTTTTATTTTTAATAAAATTTGCGCTATTTTTTCGCGCTTTTATATTTTAAAATAAAATGAATTCTTAAACAAAAATATATAAAATAAGAAGTATTTAACTTAACAAAAACCAAATAAGTAATATATATTTTTATGATTTTTTATTTTATCGAATAAACTAATATAATAATACTATTTTTTTTGTTGTTTTTTTTTCAGTTAAACTTAATAATCATTAAAATTTAATAATTTTTTAAAAAATTAAGATAATAGTATTAGTAATTTACTTTAAATTTAAAAAAAATAAAAATTATTTAATAATTTAAAAAAATAAAAAATAAATTTTTAAATTTAAGGAAAATGCACATATTTTTTTAATGTTTTACTTTTGTATATTATAAAAAAAAAAAACTATTTTAAAAATAAATTTAATTCCGCTCTAAAAATTATTTATTTGAATTAATTTAAGGAAAATATTAATAAAAATAAAATATTATTTTTATATTATTAAAAAATAAAATTCCATATTATAAATTATCAAAATACTAGTTTTCGGATGAATTAAAATAATATTCTCAATAGAAAATTCATTTACATTTTTTATAATATATTGTATTGAAATATATTGAAAGATTTCGAATATAAAAATATTAAAAGTTAATGTTAAAAGAAATCTAAAATTTAATAATAAATAATATAAAAGAGATAATATATAAAATTTAAAACAAATAACTGATTGCTAAATAAATAAAAAAAAAATTAAAAAATGAAATCTTATTATTAAATAATTATTACAGAATAAAGAAAATTGTAAATTTTTGTTTTTTAAAAATTTCAATATAACAAATAAAATGTTAATTATTTTTTTTATATATATATTATTTTTTAAGACTTAATCAAAAATAAAAAAAAGATCTAAATCCATTTTTTCAATTAAGTTTGTAAAAATATATTAAAAAAAAACAGTTCCAACAACAATATATATATAAAAAAAACATTCGAACAATAATATATATAAAAAAAATTACATTTGTTAAAAAGAATTTAAAATAAAATCATTTATTATTATCACAATCTAAAATTAATTAATAAGTTTAAAAATATAAAAAATAGTAAATTTATTTATTTAGATTATATTCATAACAGTTTTGATTATTATTATTATTATCTCGAAAAATATTATTTAATATTTAACAAAAAATTAAAATTTTATAACATTTTGTATTCTTTTATATTATTTAAAGGAGTTATTCCAACTATTTTTTCATTTTTTTTATAAATATTCAAATAATAAATATAATTTTTTATTTCTAAATTTTATATAAGCATTTATTTTTAATTAATAATATTTTGAACGTTATTCAAATTTATTCATTCAAATTTTTTATTAAAAATATATTTTAATAATAAATAAAAAGTATTACAATTAAATAAAAAAAATAAAAACAATTAAAATTAATATTTATAAAATATATAATGTAAATTAAAGAAATCTAAAATTCTTTTACATATAATAAAGAAAATCAATAAGCAAATAATTAAAAATAATATATTGAAAAAACAAATAATGGTTGCATTGAAAATAAATATGTTACAAAAGATCTTTAATAATACTAATATTAACTAGATTAATACAAAAAATAATAATAAAAAACTCCATTTGAAATAAATGTAAATAACAAAAAAATAAAGAAATATTTTTTAAAAAATAATTAGAATTATTTATAAAAAACTAATAAAATAAATACAAAATAGATGAAAAATATAAATGTTATTAAAATTTTAATAGAAAAAAAGAAGTACAAGTACAGGTTTTGAAAAAGTAGAAAATATAATTAATGAATTTACAATTGAGAACAAACGGTTATTTTATAATAACGATTTTTAAAGTTAGTAACCTAGTAATTAAAACAAAATAATAATATAGAATAATTATCAGCTATAAAGGAATAATAATTTAATAATAAAAGATTATGCATATAATCACAACTTATTTAACACTAGTATAGCTATAGCTTCCAAATAAATGTATGCACCAATAGAAATGGAAGAAATAGATATAAAACATATAAGTAAGCCATAATACGTATCCAAATATGCAAAAGAAATAATATAATATATGTCATAAAAAGATGTAAAAATATACTTAATATAACAAAAATAATTAACAAAAAAAAAATAGCAATAATATATTTGTAAAACATAATACTTTGAGATGGGCTATTAAAATTATTTAAATAGCAAAATAAGGTCAATTTTGATAGATTGGCTAGTAGATGTACATTTAAAATTTAATTTATTAACTGAAACATTATTTTTGGCAGTGAATATAATAGATAGGTACCTAGAAGTATAAAAAGATATCGAAAAGTCAAAATTTTAACTTTTAGGAATAGGAGCAATGTAAATAGCATGTAAATATGAAGAAATATATGCCCCTTAAATAAAAGATTTCATATTTATATGTGATAATGCATATTCAAAATAAGACTTATTATAATATGAGGGAAATATTCTTCAAGCCTTATAGTTTAATATAACTACACCTTCATCTTTTAGGTTTTTGGAAAGATATGCGAGAATTGCTGAATTTAATAAGAAATAATTCCTTATGGCACTTTATTTTTTAGAAATATCTCTTGTAGACTATTAAGGAATCTGTTTTAGACCTTCTGAAATGGCTTGTGGAGCTATATATGTTGTTAATTTTATTTCTAATAAAAAATAAAAATGGAATTCTTGTTTATAAAGAAATACTAATTATGATATTTTTTAACTTAAAAATGCAATAAAATGTATAGTATAAATTAATAAGAAAGCTGAAAATAATTTTAATGTGAATAAAGAAAAATAACTTAATGCAGTTAAGAGAAAATTTTCACATTAAAGATATTAAAATGTATATTCTATTGTTTAAAGTAATTAAGAAATAATATAAAATATTGATTTGTGAATATATATTTAAATATTTATTTTATGTTTTATATATAAAAATATTATAAATTTATTACTTTGGTTTAGTATCAATAAATAATAATTAAAGTTTTAATTTCAGTTTTAAAATATATACAATAAAGTTTTTGTTGTTGTTGTAAAGTATTATTAGAATAATAAATAAATATTATAAATTTGTTTATTATATAATTATTTTAAAATTAATATTTAAAGGTAAAGTAAAAAATATTAAACATTTTAAATACTATAATAATATAAAAAGTTCAAATTACTAATATTTAAAAAAAAAATTAATTTAATGTTTAAATAAAAAAATATCCAAACAGAATAATAAATAAAGGGCTTATTTTAGTCATATAAAGAAAAATATAAATTAAATTTATAAATTAATTTATATAACTATAGTAGCTTTGATGTTTTAAATACATATTTTTTATTTCTGCCTTTATATACACATTTTTACTTATTTTTAAATGAAAATTAAGTCTTAGATTATTATAAAAATATAATAATATTATTATCAGATTAAATAATAAAAAAAAAAAATTATTTATAATAAATTAAAGATTTTCTAAATTAATTTTATAACTTATTATTTTAAGAAAAAATAAATTTTAGCTATTTATTAATTGACTTTTATAAAAAATAAAATTAAACTTATTATTAATGCTGACACATTAAAAATTTATGTTAATTTTCATTATAATAGTTAGTATTCGTTTTATAATTAAATTAAAAAAATATAAAAATAAAATTCGAAAAAAAGTCTTATATTCTAATTTTCATAGCTAGTTTTTATACTATTATGTGAAATATTATTGTCCTAATTTTTAAGAACTAATCAAATTTTATTGTACTTAAGGCGTTTAGAATAAAAAGTTCTTATTTTAATTTAAATAATTATTTTAATCATAAATAGGTTTGTTAATACTTTAGATATTTGTAGAAGCAGAATTAAAGTTACTTACAAAAAAACTATTATTATTAGGAAATTATTAATTAAATTTGAACGGCGTATTATATTAATTATTAGAAAAATTATCATTTTAATTAGAAATTATAATTATATTTTATTATTAAGAATTTCGTGTTTCTTCTTTATCCATACATTCTTAACATACAACACATTTTTCATTATTTTTATAAGCTCTTAAATTATTACAGTCTTAATTCATACATACATCTTCTGCTTAAACATATAATTGTTGATTTACAATAAAATCTTACATTTAATATAATTAAATATCTTATTATTATTTTTATTTTTATTATGATTAAAATTTTTATAATTTATCTTTATATTCATTTGCTTATAATTACTCTTTTTTTAAAGTTTCGTTTATAATTTAGTATTTTTAACTCACTTCTTAAAAATAATCATATAAGGCATAATTAACTGGTGATATTTTTATTTGATTATATGAATATATTGATTAACATATTTTACATGTAAATTTTGATTATTTTTTCATTTAATCTGTTATACATTATTCACAAAATGTATGACCGCATAATAAAACTCTTGGAATAATTTCCTACTAATTCCATTCATAAAAACATATTGAACAACAACTCATAATATAGATTAATAAATTTAATTTTTAAAAATATTTTTTTTTATAAAATTTATTTAATTATAAAATTTTTATAAATTATATAATATATTTGTTATATTTTATTTATGTTAAAATTTAATTTATATTAATTTATATTTTTATCAAAATATTTTTTTAATGTTTTTTTATAAATTTTATTTTATTTATCATCTTTGAAAAAATGCTTTTAATTTAATCATATTAAATTATAATTATTAGTTAGTTTAATAAATACATATGTTTTCTCTACTAATATTCAAATTTAAATACAAAAATAATTATATTATATTATTTTGTTTAATTTACCATATAATATAAACTTTAAAAGTTTTAATTGAATAATAAATAAAAAGTATTGTCAAATATTTATAAATTATAAACAAATTCTAAAGAAATAAATTTTTTGATTTAAAATATAATACAGATAGCTTAATAGTATAAGCTAAAAATAGAAAAAATATTTTTAATATTTATATTATAAATTATATTTAAGCAATAATTTTTAAAATTAAATTAAAAACAACTTAATATGATTTAAAAAATTAAACACAAAAATAAAACATTATATAAAAAAATAAAAATATTATAAACTTATTTAAACATCAAAATATAATTAAAATAATAAATATAAATCCTATTCAGTAAAAAAAATGATAAATAACTAAATAATAAAGCATAAAAAATAAAATAGCATTTATATTAGAATATAATTATTAACAATAATATTTATAAAATAAAATAATATATTAATAGTTTTATTATATTAATATTTTTATTAATAATATTGCTTTTATTTAAAATTAATAAAAATATATTAAATATTATCTGATCTTGAAAAAAATAATAATATTAATAAACAAATAATAAATTTTAAATAAAAAAATATAATATAATATTATATTATATCTTTTAATAATTTTTTTTTTTAAAATAAATTAAATATAAAAAAAATGTTCTAACAACCTCAAGCTGACATATTAGCAATGCCTGATTCTTAAGATTTTATGAACAATTAATAAATAACTACCGGAACAACAATTATGGCTGTAGTATATGATGGTGGAGTATTAATCGGAGCTGATTCACGTACATCTTCTGGCTAATACATAGTAGATAGAGTTGCTGATAAATTAGATTATGTACACGATCGTATTTTTTGTTTAAGAAGTGGAAGTGCAGCTGATACTTAAACATTATGTACTTATGTACGTTATTATATAGACGTTCACACAGTAGAATCTGGCAGAAGGCCTGCAGTAAAAACAGCTGCTAAGTTATTTTAAAATATGATTTATGAATACAAAGACAATCTTTCAGCAGCCGTTATTGTTGCAGGAGTAGATGACTTATTAGGACCTTAAATTTATAATGTTAATCCAAACGGAAGTATTTTTAAATAATAATGTGCTACTGGAGGAAGTGGTAGTGGTTATATTTATGGATTTGTAGATTCAAATTTCAAAGAAAATATGAGCCTTGATGAAGCCAAAAAATTTATCAAATAAGCAATTTCACTTAGTATGAGTCGTGATGGATCGTCTGGAGGTATAATGCGATTAATGAATATCACTAAAGAAAAAGTTGAGCGTGAATTTGTAGATTTAAAGGATTTGCCTTATCGTTTATATTGATTTTTTATTTTATTTTATTTTTTGATAATATTATTTATTTGATTATTTTATATTGTTTTTTTTCTTTTTTTTTTTAGTTTTAAAAAAAAAAAAAACTAAAATAATTCAATATAGCAAAATATAAACTCATATTTTTTTTTATATAATTTATTATCATTTTTATTTCTATTCGGGTATAATATAAAAATAAATTAGTGTATTACTTTGCTAACATATCAATTAATATTAAAATTAATTTTATTAAGAGAATAATTTATCTAGTTAATAATTAGAATAATTTATACATAAATGTTATAGTTTATATTAGTATATTTATAAATAAAATTATTCTTTCGAACAAAAAAAAAAAAAAAGCAATATTAAATTTTTTTTTAAAAAAAATACGATTTCAATTAAATATGACATCTTAATTAATATATTTTTATATTAAGTTTATTCTTTTGAACTTTTTATTATTTCTAGAAGCAATCAAAGTATTTAAATTTTTGGATTAATTTCCCTTTTATTCATTCAAAAGTTTAATACTTTCATGTCCTGAATTAATTTATTTAATAAAACTTTTATAATCTTATTTAATAATTTATTTAACTTGTGTCTGATTATCGATTTCCTTAAAACCATTTTGTTATAAGCATTATTAATTATTTTTATTTTAAATACTATTTTTTTTTTCGAAAGGAATCTGGAAAACCTTTCTCCAAAAAAGAAATTTCCTAATTGTTTTTTATAGTTTAAAGTTAGCTAAAGTTTTATTTTTTTTATTATCTATATACATAATATATGATTCTCTCATATTAAGAATATTTTCAAAGAATTTGATATATTCAATACACTTAAAAAAACAAACACTTAAAGCAACTGGATTTTTTTAATTAGCAATGGAATTAATGATTTTTTCAAATTGAATATACATTAACTTAAGTGAATTTTTCAATTCATCAAACCATAAATCAGAATCATAATATGTAATTTATTCAATATGATTTTATAAAGAAAAAAAATATTATTTTATAAATATTATATTTTAAAATTATTCTATTAAATTTATATTTAATTTATAGTTAACTTAATTAGATATTTTCATAAACTATAAATCTTTCAAAAACTCATAAAATTCATCATAATTAGTTTAATCGTTTTTTTTATTTAATAATTCTAAGCCTTATATATGCATATTTTAATTATTTTTATCATCTTCTGGCTAATCCATAAGTTAATTATAAATTGAATATTTTCTATTATCATCTAATTATAAGTTATAATTTTATATACTTTATTAACTTCCTAATATTTATCCAAAAAATGTGTGTCTTTATTTTATCTCATTTTATGTTTTTTCTTCATTTTAATGTTAAGATACTATTAAACTTTAAAATTCATGAAAATCAAAAACTAAATAACCATCTTAATGGTTTTTTAATTTTCTTATAGATTCTTTATTTTCCTACTCTTCTTCATCATCTTCTCCATTGATTTCTGACATTTATTAATTTTTTTATGCAAAAAGAAAAAATAATTAGAATTGATAAATTTAATGAATTAAAAAATACTTAAGAATATTTAAAAAAAAACTAATGAATATAAATAAATTTATAATTTTTATTTGTAATATATATTATTTAATTTATTCTTATTATTTTATTAGCTTGTTTTTATATAAAAATAGTTTTAATAAAAACTTAATATATATATATATAAATTAATTATATTAAATATGTTTTTAAATTATCGTATTTTTAAATAGTAACTAACTATAGACTCGATGTGATAAATAAAATAGTTATAAAATTAAATTTTTATTAATTTTAATAATAATATGAAACTCATTTTTATTTAAAATTGACTCGTTAATTGATAAATAAAAATAATAAAAATTAGTTTTTTAATATTTATAATTTTATTTTATAAAAAAAAAAAAAAAAATGCAAAAAAAAAATACTTTAAATAGTTAAAACAACAATAACAATGTTAATAAAAAATATTTATAATAACTATAATTAATAAAAAAAAAACAAGGAAGATTGTCAATAAAAAATTGATAAAATATTTGCTTAATTTGACAAAAATTATTAAAAAGAAACAAAATAAAGTTAATAGTTTGAGTTGCAAAATAAATAAGACTAAGATAATTTTATTTAGGTTTTCTTATTATATATATATAAATTATGCTATACTATTATATTTATATATTATATATTCATTTAATATAGGCTGATTTATTTAAGAATTATATAGATAATACAGGGATTGAATAAGCATTTTAGATAATATTAACAGAAATATTAGATAAAAAGATACAAGAGAATAAAATATATGCTTATACAGCATAAAGATTGAGATAAATTGGAAACGATTTAACTGCTTTAGAAAATGTAAATATATTTTATTAATATAAAATTTATATTAATAAATGAAAAGGCTATTAAGAAATGAAGAGTTTTGTTAAAAAAATAATTAAACAATTATTAATTATAATAATAATAATAAACAAAATAAAAGTAAAATATAATGATAATCTTGACAAATAACATTAATAGATAAATTATAATAATATAAATAATATTTATTTATAGTTTAATTATTTTGAATTTTTTTCATTATTTACACATTTTCAAATATTTATATTTGAGCTAGATTTTAAGACTCAAATTTATTTCATATATTCAATAAATGATATTTTATTAGAAAAATCATCTTAATTTAGTTTCTTAATATTTGGAATAGATGGTGGTTTTAATTTCTTTTATAATAAATTATCCCATTGAAATTTCGAAAACCAGGGATCGGACATTATATTTTCAAATCCTCCAATTGTTCTTTTTTCTGGATTCTTTTATAATAATTAACTTATAAGGTTTTTCGCATTTTCATTTTTTAAACTCTTTGGAAATTTCAACTATTTACTTAGTATTATTTTAAATATTTCATAAGGACTATCTTCATCTTCACCAAAAGGTAATTATCCACATAAAAATTCATATAAGCAAACACCTAAACTCCAAAAATCAACACTGAAAGTATATTATTTACCCTTTATTACTTCAGGTGCCATATAATTAGGTGTACCAATTATTGTATTTGTTCGAAATTAATCTATTTTGTTTAAAGTAAATTAAACTATTATTTTTATAATAATTTTGTTACTTTCTTTATTCGAAATTTTGGCTGAACCCATGTCAATTAAATAAAGATATCCATAATCATTTACAATTAAATTTTCTGGCTTTAAATCTCTATAAATGATATTTTTTTAGTGTAAATGTTATAGGCATAAGATCATGATTGCTATATAAAATTATGTTTATTTTTCAGTAAAAGTAGAAACTTAATTAAGATATTCAAATAAATCAATTCCATTTATATATTCTAAAAGAAAATATATCTAATTCTCATCTTCAAATGTTTAAATTAAAGAAGGGATAAATTAAAAGTTAATTTATTAAAGTACGTTTTTTTCAGACTTTAAAAGTTCTTTTTGAAATTTTAATTTTTCTAACTTTTATTTAGATATACACTTCAAACTATAAAACTCTTTTTCTTATCTATAATATTTAAAAGTTTAAAAATTGATATTAATTTTTTTTACATATTTTTTTAGACTAAAAATACATTTCCAAACTATCCGTTTCCAAGGTTTTTAATATATATTAGTTGTTTTAATGATATCTGTTAATTTTTAACATCATTATTTTAAAATTGTTTATCAATATTATCGTAATTTTAGATTTCTTAATTTTCTTAAATTTAATAATGTAAATTATTATTTAAGCTAAACATATTATAAAAGGATTATATAACAGTATATTTTTTATTTTTATTATCAAGTAAACTTAATATATTCTAGTTTTTGAAAACTAAATAATCTATTGTATTCTTATAGTTAATTAAAAATAGCATTTAATTTAAGGTTTTATAAACTAATATTTTTTATTTTTAATTAAATATTATTTTTTTGATTTTAGTAAAGATTCCTTCAACATTTATTACTAAATTTTAGTTATTTTTATCCACTTAATTAATATTAGAATTGAATATTTAATCGCAATTACTTTTCTATTAATTATTTGCAATAAACTTTCCGGTTGTCTATAATTTAAATGTAAAATAAAAATTTTTATGCATTAATGTTTAATTATTTTAAATTTATTTAATTATTTTATTTTATTTTTATTTTGTTTTGTTTTATTTTGTTTTGTTTTGTTTTGTTTTTTTTAATTTATATAGAAAAACATTTAAACAGTCAAATGATAAGATTTAAATAAAAAAAAAATATCTTTTTTTTTATTTTATTCTAGAATATTATATAATGTAAATATTTTAAATCCGAAGTAAATATATGATTAAATTTAAAAATAATACGTAAATTCATCGAAATTGTTATAAATTGTTTTATGATATTATTTTTTATTTAAAAATATATATTAAGAAAAAAAAAATATACATATATAAAAAAATTAATTAAATAATTTTATTATTTTTTTAAAAATATGTTTTAATTTTAGAAAATTTTATAAAATAGAAAAATAGAAGTTGAGAATAAAAAAAAAATTAATTAAATTATATAATTATAATTAAAGGCTTCAATTTAATGCCCAAAAAAATGCACATATAACTCAAAAATCCCCAATAAATTTTAAACTCTTGATATAATTAGATCATTAAATAAAATATGCAATTGATACACACAAGGGAAAAATAAATTTAACAATTATTCGAAATGGGCCATATAATAAATATTTTGAGGATTTGTTTGTATATAAAATGTTGAATAGCATAACCTATTTATACCCATGTCAAAGCATTAAAATTAATACAAATTATGAAAAAAAATCTGCTTAAACTCGATATTAGTTATACTAGCTTCAACAAATACGCTATTTAGATTTTAAAAATAATTAATTGGAAAAATATTAACACATATATACTAGAATGTATAAAATTTATTTTTTAAAGAATTATTGCTTTTCTATAATAGAAAATTTAAAAATATAAGTAATTTATTTATGTTTGTATTTATTTAAATATAAAATAGAAAAATATATAAAAAATTTATAAATTTCTTAATATAATCAATATTAAAATGGAGTTGATAAATATATAAGAAAAAAAATTATACATAAAAATAGAAATGCTAATAAAATATTTAATTATCTCTTTTTTTGTTTTTATAAAATTAGTTAAATGCGGTTACAAGTAAATCGTTAACATTTAATATGGCTTAATTATATTTAATATAATAAAAAAATTTAGGATAACTAATATTATTAAAAAAATTTAAAAAACAATAAAATAAAGTAAATACCATAATAAACTAAAGAAAAAAAATGATTTTTAATAAAAAAACGTTGACTTTGTTATATTCATATTATTATATTATATTATATTATATTATATTATATTATATTATATTATATTATAATATATATGATAAATATTATATATATTAATTATATCAAAATAAAATATATATTAATTATTTTATATATTTTATATTTATTATTATTCATATATATAAGAAATAATATAAATATATATTTATTTATTAAATATATTATATATATTTTATTTTTGACTAATATTTCTTTTAGGTTATATATAATTTTTAAGATATTTATAATAGAATTGATATATTTTTTTTTTTATATTAATATTTTTTATATTTAATAAAAGTTATATATTATACATATTGATATTCTTATAAATGATTTTATTATTTATATATTATTTTTTAATTACATATAAATATATATAAATTAGTCTTCTTTTTATCTTATCTTTATTTTATCATTTTTTAATTGTAGACACACTAAATTTATAATTTAAAAAATATTTATAATAATATAATATCTTTTCGATTAATAAATTTAAAAACATTTGATAAAAATATATTTTTGAAATTTTAAATTAATTACTATATTTTTTAAAAAAACATTTTTTTTTTAAAAAAAAATATAATTTCTCAAAAAAAAAAACTAAAAAAAAGTTAAATTTTTTTTGTCAATATTTAATAAAAAATTAAATAAAAACAAATAATTTTTCATTAGAATTGAAAATTTACATGAATTAAATATTTTATTTTAACTTGTCCAACATCATAAACTATATATTCATTATAAAGTAATTCCTTATTATAATCATCATCATTATTCTCAACTTATCCTTTTTAATTGTTTTTTTATTATAAAATTAATCTATAATTTATTTACCTGTTAAACATTTAAAACTATCTATCATTTCATATTAAGTTTAATTTATTTACATTCTACCTACCCCTTAGACCTTATTTAATATTTTATATATACCTAGACCTTTTATAAAAAAAATACGCTGTGATGGTAAATAGGTGGCGATTTAAATACTTTAGCCTTTACGACTTCATGAATATTTCCTAAAGCAACTTCACATAATAATAAAAGTCCTTCAGGAAAATCAGCTTTAGCATGACAATAATTAGCAGCTTTTGAAACAACATCCGCAAAATAAATTCCTTTTCCAAACATATAACCTGTCATAGGAGCCTCTGGAGGAGCTATTCTTAATCCTTCACTTAAAATACCTACATAATTCGATATTCTAGAACCATGCCATAGTAATCCTTTTTTTAAAAGTAAAAAAAAAAAAAAAAAAAAGTACTTTTATTTCCTAATTATGTGAAAGGAAAAAATCTCTATTTTTCACTTTTTTTATCTACCAAATATATATCTTTAATACTTAATTTATATTTATTATGCGAAGGCCCATGCGTATTTTGAATCATCTTTTGTATAATTTTATATTAAATATCTTAAGGATTTAAAATTTCGATTTTAGCCTTTAGCATTTAATAAAAACAATCTAAAGGATTAATTAATTCCATTTCCTTTTTTTATATATAAAATAACAATTAATTAAATAATTTTTTACTTTTGATTATAAAGCTTAATTAATATATTTATTAGTTATATCAACTTCCTTTAAAATATCCAATAAATAAATTTTTTCTCTGACTTTTTATATATGATCAATTATGGGAAGTTATTTCATTCCATAATTTTAAGGAATATTAGTATAAAACTAATTAGTTAATTCAATAATAATTGATTTTTTAGCATTTTAAATAATCGCATTTTATATTTCTGTTAATATTTTATAACTTTTTTTAAATAAAATTTTAAATTATAACAAATAAAAAAGTACCCTTTTTATATTTATTAATAAGACAGTTTTCCCAAAGGATTTTTTTCTGTATCAAAATTAAGTTCTTTAAGTGTTTTACTAATTCTACTAAAATCCCAAATTATTAGCATTAAAGATTTAATTTTTTATTCTAATTAAGAAGGTAATTCCTGTATTTTTTTTTTCAAAAGCTCATTTCTTTAATTTAATTTCTCAACATCTTAATTAATAGAACTTTTAGAAGATTCTCCTTCAACTTAAATCCAAGTATATTTTCCTGGTTGTACTTTAAAAGAAGAGAAGTCCCCATTCCAATCATTATGTGTTTTTTCATAAAATTTCTTTTTAAAAGCTAAAATTGCATCATATTTATTTTCATATCCTTTATAGGTTTCTTGCGGATTTTAAGCTCCTACACGTCCCCATTTAGTATAAACAGTAAATTTCGAAAATTTCATATGAAGAACCTCTATTTAATAGAATTTATTATGTCCTTTTACTCCATAAGATATATCAGTAAGATTTAACATACAAGTGTAATTCTCGTAAACTTAATAACCATCAGAACGTTATTTTTAAGATTTTGGTTATGTTGCTTGTAATGGCTTTATTTTTAGATCAGTCATTTAAATTTCTAAATCCAATTGTGTATTCTTTACTAATTATTTGCTTTTATCCTGCTATGAATAAATATTATTTTGTTATTAATTTTCATCTTTTCTTGAACTTAGATTGCTTTTTGAAATAATATCTGTTTTTTTTGGATTTTCTTCATTTTCAGAGACTATTTCTAGTTCAATCATTTGCTCGTCTTCCGACTCTTATTTTTTCTATTTTACTAATTTACGTTTCTTACTGTTTTTTACGAATTTCATTAATTTTTTTTGCATTTCTCCTTACCTTCGGGTATCAACTGATTATTGAGTTTTATTTAATTAAATTAATTGTTTCATAGATTCTTCACTTTCTTGTTATAGTTCGAAACTACTTTCTTATTAGAAATTTTTTTAATTTTAGTTTGAATCTTCCTTAATATTGTCTTCATCGAAAAATATACTGTTTACGGAACTCATTTTTATATTTTATAATTATGTTTTGTTTTTTTATTTTCTATTTATTTATTTTTTAGCCGCGAGCTTTTTATTATGTATAATTTTTATTATTTTTAAAAAATTTTGTTTTCCTAATAATTAAAAAATAAACTAAAGTTAATTATTTTTACTTAAAAATTATTATTTATACAAAAAATTGATTTTAAATAAAAATATAAATTTACATTTATAAAATTCATTATTTTTATTTATCTAAAAAAAAAACAAAAGTAAAAAAATTTTGCCAAGTTTTTAACTAAATAAATATTTATTGTTTAAATAAACGAGTTCATATATAGCAAAAACATATGCTTTAAATAATAAAATTATATTATTAATTTTTATTTTTAAAGGATAATGTATATAGGTTGAATTTCTTGATACAAGTTTATTATAAAATATATAAACCATAAAAGTTATTATATAATAAATATTTAATAAATATAAGGAAAAAATAACAAGATGTCGTAATAAAACATATCGAAATTCCTATAAAATAATTAATGAGAAAATTTTAATTTAAATAATAATAAAAACAAAATCAATTTTAGTTAGAAAAAAAAGAAATGGACTAAAAATCAAACAACTTGGAAAAAATATGTCTATAGAATATGATAATTTTTTAAAAAAATAGGATAATCTAAATAATAAAGTTAAAAAACTATACAAACATTTAAAAAAAAAATCAATAATAAAATTTGATTTGAATACCTAATTTTTGATAAAGATAATATAATTTGTTTTTTTAAGGTTTTAATAAACAAGATTGTCAATATAGACATGAAATATTATAATAAATTTCTTTAATTTAATACTGTAAAAGAAAAATACTAAGATTAAAAGAATGAGAAATATAAATAAAAAAACAGAAAAAAGAAAATTAATAAATAAACCCAAAATGAAATCTAAAATTAAATGAATAAGGAAGAATCTACATATACTTAAATAAAAAATTAATAAATTAAGAATATTTCTAAGAAAATTTAAATAAAATCAAAATAATAATAATTACTATAGAATTAATAACAGCATAAGAACTTTAAGAAAGAATAAAACAATACAC